CATTTTTGTTAGAGTAATCTTTTATAAAAATAATGAAGAGCACATTAAAAAATGCATAGTATATTTAATCCATTTGTTTTATATTTAAAATAAATTTTTATATTGCAACTTTCATACATTATTTTTTTTTATTTTTATTTTTATATTTTCCCATATAATATTTATTGGAGTATAATTTTACAAAAGCTATTCATTATTTTTAAACAAAACTTGTTAAAATCGTGAAAGTCATTTCCGTTTGGAATACAATAGTCCATTTAAACAAATGCTGTATGTTACTGATATAGTTAAGTAGCATCGTATATGATGCTACAGAATGGCAGCAAGATAAGAAAAGCATAGTCGATATAACTCAGAATGCTTTCGAAATGTATATGACATCTGTAGGAGAACGACATTGTATAGCTATGCTACTCGTGAGATAAAAAGTAAATACCTATATCAATGACTATCACGATGAATTCGAATCAGATTAAAGAATTTTCTAATGTAAAATAATAATATCTTTAATTATGATTTTTTCTTTATATATTCATAAACAAGAAATTTTCAAATAAAAAAAGGAATAAAAAATATAATTTTTAAAAATTAGAAAATTACTTCAAATGTAATATTGCTTATAGGTGTATCACTTTAAAATAATGATTATAGCAATTGATCCGTTTAGAGCTTAAATTATGAGAAAAAAACTTGTATGATAGTTTTTTTTTCAAACTTTAAGATTAAAAGAGTAATTTTTTTTTTATTTTAAATATATAAAAGCGATTTTGAGTAAATATTTATATTATGGGGATAACTTTTGAATTTCAAAATTGTAAATTTTTTAGATTCGCATTTTTCATTAAGATAAATTTTGAAATTCCACATTCATGGGAATTGCTACTTTACAAAGTTAAAAAGTTAAGTTCAATGAAAGAATTTATTTAAAAAAATGATAAACAATAAAAACATTTAAATTCGCTTTAATCCGATATATTGTAATTTATATTAAGGATAAAATTACTCGTTTAGTTTAATTTTAATTTTTAGTTTATTTTAGCGAATTGTATCACGGCCTGATTTTCTACATTATTTTCTTTTAAATTCTAGACAATCGGTCGAAAGTGGAGCACTTCTTTTGTTTCATTTTTGATTATATACAGCTGCCAACATCCTGTTCTTAGGGCAGTCAAATCTTCGATGTTGTATCTCTCATTTCTTCGATTCAATTCTTCGATTCAAACCACAAAAAGAAATATAATTTCATGTTCACAAATAAATAATCAATACTATTTTAATATTTTAAATAATTTATCACTTATCTGCTATATGTTCGTGTTATCTTACGATTAAATAATAGTTATACTATTAACACATTTAAAATCAATGATATAACGTATGCGCCGTGAGAATTTTTTATTGTATGCGATTGACGT